ACCCTATACGGTTAGGCACTCGTTGTGGTCACAGTGCACCCACCACTACAATGTTTAGAGCCATTTATTCTTTGTCGGCGTCTCTTGCTCCATTTTTTTTGCTTAATACAGTAGTACTAATCAGAAACGTGGAAAAGGATAATCGTGGACGATTCTAATCCAATATTTAGAAACCTTTTGCGAGGAAAATACTAAGGTTGAATTAACGTTACTGAGAACAACAGGTATCTATTCCGATGTCGTCCAGCGGTTAGGATATCTGGCTTTCACCCAGGAGACCCGGGTTCGATTTCCGGCATCGGAGCTTTTTTTTACATTTTTGATCTTGCGTTACACCTTGGTCTGATCATTTTCTTAATTACCAAAATGCAACACAAGCCTATCATAAAAATTCCAAGTTCCAAACTTAAAACTTAACTAAAAGTCACTGCCAAATTTCAAAAGGCATAAGTAAATAGCCTAATCCGCAAATTGTTTTCATAAAATGTTTCCAAGATTTCAAGTTGTTTCCTACACTTACAAAAAACTTCCGAGAGGCAGGCAAAGCCGCAAAAGTAACCGGTAATGTTTCCGGAAAAAAAAAACACACCGAAGTGGTTTTCAAAGAGATGGCTCTAACTGTTGAGTGAAGACAGCATCCCACCAGCTGAGCTAGACGAGACCACTTCCCAACCCGGACCCTTCACTGGAAAAGCTTCCTGTGCTTCTGCCTCGCCCGGTAAGGTAATCATCAGGTCACTCCGGTCAAGCACACGGTCAAGATCCTCCTCGCTTATATCCGTTTGTATCATTTTATCTTCAGCAGTTTCGTCGTCCTTGAGCAACGCCAGTATATCATCTTCCTGTGTATTGGTTCAAGCTTTTACTAAAAGGTAATGATGCTTTTACTAAACGGTAATAGTTTAAAAAAAAAATTGGTTCTTGAGAAACTAAACCTCTAGTGTTGTTGAAGACTTGGCACGCTCTTGATGAAACTGCCCTTTGCCAATAACCACATGTTCCAGCTTAAGCTTACTGTAAGCTCGTTTCAGAACTCGGCCCTGCGCAAATGTCATAAACTAGTCTCAACAACAGTCTCACTGACCTGAGAGTAGAAACTGATTATTAAAACAGCAAAGAGTTCTACCTCTATTGACTGAGCAGTCGCAAGCCTGTAAACATGAACAGGTTTTGTCTGACCAATTCTGTGGCACCTGTCCATGGCTTGCAAGTCCATTTGAGGGTTCTGACGATCAGGCAACAACACACAATTAATTAGACACCACCTGAAAGAGATAAGACCAGAAAAGAATTTCTTAGAAAAAAAACTAATTTGATTACCCAATCGCTATCGTAGAGGATGCATGTGTCTGCAGCAGTAAGATTAATTCCGAGCCCTCCAGCTCTGGTACTGAGAAGAAATATCCTGCAGTTGCTCTTCTCGTCATTGAATTCTTGGATCTATTTCATGAGATAGAGACAGACATTGTGGTTATTATATGGTTCGAATATTGTTATGATGCAAAAGCAGCATAAGCACAGGACAAACCTGTCTTCTCCTTTCATCCAGTTTCACATTCCCGTCGATTCTGCAAACCTCAAACCCCTTCTCACTGAAGTAGTAATCCATAATGTCCAAAATCTTTGTCCATTGGGAGAAGATAAGGACCTGTTCACCAGGGGAAAAAATCAGAGCCGATCTCATGGAAAATGAGCTACGCACTAGGGGCATGTGAGTTGTAAAACATACTCTGTGATTTTTGGCAAATAACCGAACAAGCAATCTCTCCAGTAAGCGGAATTTACCGCACTGTCCCACAATATCTTCCACAGGAGGGTAGAGATCTGTCAAGAAAGGGAAAAATTAAACACAACGGTAACATATAAACTTTTGAACACATTGGTAGAAAGGTACACTGACAACATACATGAGCCATCTAGTTGCCCCACAAGAAGGTCAGGATGGTTGCAGTTCTTTCGAAGTTGAATAGCCAGATTGTTAAGCTTTCCCTTCAAGCCATGACCTGAAGTATAGGGAATGAGCAAAGCAATCCAGAAAAGACATAACTAATTGTAAAGCATAAAAACACAGAACATCAAGTACCTCGGACAGCACCCTCTCCAATGTGTGCTTCCAAGGTGTGATTCACAAGATGTTCCTGGAACTTCTTCTGATGAGCCGTCATTGTAGCATAGATGATAATCTCTTTTTTCCGGGGAAGTGAGAGCTCAACATCACATTTCATTCTTCGGAGGATGAAAGGTCGTAGTATATTATGAAGTTTCGCAACAACCTAGCCAGAAAGGTACTCTTCTAATGAGATATATATACAATCAAAGAGATCTATTAAAACAATCATAATTTTCATACTTGAGCTCTTCTTTTATCTTCTCCTTCTTCCTTAGTTGCTTCATTATTGTTCTTTCCAGAAAAATCAAACCTATAAAATACTCAATTTATAAGCTGGATAATTGAAGAGGAAAAAATATCTAAAAGATGAAGCTACGGATAACAGTAGAGAGGACCATGAATGTACCATGATTCAAATTCGTCATGTGATGCAAAGATGTCAGGCAGAATAAAATTCAACAGTGACCAAAGCTCAGACAAATTATTCTGCAGAGGGGTTCCTGTCAGCAGAAGTTTGTTCTCCATATTCAAGTATCTTAGCTCCCTCAGCAGTTTACACTTGTGGTTTTTCAACCTGTGACCCTATAAGATTTAAGAAAAAATAAGTTACATGAATCATCTTGATGACACAAACTCGTGTGCCTAGGACGCTAGTCAATCTGGCAAAATACCTCATCAATCACAACATATTTCCATGGATAGTGCCGAAGATTTTTTTTAGCATCATTCATAGCAACCTCATAAGAAGTTATGACTATAGGGAACTTCGGGCCAACAGTTTTGGGCATGTGCTTCCTCCTGAGCTCATCCCTTTCTTTCCTATCTCCATGGTAAATGATTGCATTAATGGAAGGCGTGAACCTATTCAACAAGATAACAACAAAAGAAATCAACCACAAAGCTTGACAATTGATATATATATATATATATAAACACAAATGGTCAAAAGAGTACCTAGCGATCTCATTCATCCAGTTTGAAAGAGTAGAGAGCGGAGCAATGACGAGATATGGACCATCCAACCCATTTCCTTTCAGGTGTGACAGGAAACCAATGGTTTGAATAGTCTTTCCAAGACCCATTTGATCAGCTAAAATTCCATTCAAACCATTTTGCCACAGTGATATCAGCCATTTGACACCTTTGAGCTGATAAGACTTCAACTTTCCGCAAGTCAGAAGAGGAACAAGTTCACTCTGCTCTTTCATGACTCTTTCTTCCTCCGTCAGATCCGAGTTGGCAGATTCACGACCTTCCTTAGATCTTGAAATCATAGCAGCAACAGCTTTCTTAGCCTTCATCTGAATGAAGAATAAAAGTATCAAACATCCAAAGTAAGTTAATTTTATGAACAAGCATAAAATCACAAAATGTACCCAAACATGAAGTTTATAAGAAAAGGAACTAACACTGTCGCCCTGAGGAGCAGCCTTTCTTTTACGTCCACGTCCTTTCTTCTCAGGCTCAGGCTCAGGCTCAGGCTCGGCCTTTTGGGTCTCACCTTCTATCCCATTCTAGCACAAGTACTCATTTAAGAAAACAAAAAAAAAAACAAATCTCACTATAAATGTGAATAACACAAATAAGAAGGCACTTACTTTGGTGATATCCTCCATTTTCTCAAGGAGGAACTCAGAGTAGAGTTGTGTTTGGGTCAAGAGCTCATCAAGTTTAGTAAACTGAGTATCATTGAGATCAGGAGCGTCACCAGAGTCAGCAAGTTTAGCAATCTCTTCATCTTCACGGAGTTTAAGCAGCTGCTCTTCTTCCTGAGCCATGGCCTCAGAGATAAGAGACGAATCTCCATTCTTGGCTAAGAGTAGATCTTCCTCTACAACAACAGTAGCAGTTTTCTCTTCACAGTTTTCCTTGAGGAGTAAACAAAACAAAGGCCCAAATCAAGTAGTGAAAGTAATACACATTTAAAGAACCAAAACCAAAAGTGAAAAAAAATATTCTCGAAACCCTAAAAAAAATGGAACAAACCTCGTCACTGAGAACAGAAGTGGGTGAGTCACCGGAGCCATCTTTCTCCGTTCTTCCTCCGTCGCTGGCCATTTCCGAAACCCTAAAAAACAAATCAACAGAGATAAACAATGCTTTCAAAATTCACACCAAAACAAGCAATCAAACGCAGAGAGGGAAAACCCCTTTGAGAACAGCGAGCGATTTGGAAGGATTCAAAAAATCGCCGGAAAACAAGAGCGAAAAAAAGAATGAAGCAATAGGAGGAGAGGTTGTGAGAGACTTACGGAGTGGTTTTCGTTGAGCGAAGACTAACCATTGCGAAGGAAATTCCGATTACGGAGAAATAAAAACGAGCGGCGAGAGAAACCACCGAACACTCTCAGAGACGCTTTCAGAGAGAAATTTCAAAAAACTGAGGGGTATAATGAAAAGACGCACTTTTCAATTTTTTTATTAATTGGAAGTAGCGCCCACTGGCGGGAAGATGTTAATGACAATTTTACCCCCTAGGTTTCTCCCTGATTCGCGGTTTTGGTTATGTACTTATGTGTAATGCTATCATGTAGAGAGAGAGATAAACAAACACACTGAAAAGTGGTTATGGGCATTGTATAGTCTTGTCGACTGAACTTTCTATAAAATACATTCATTAACACGGGCACATTCACTAATTAATTACTAACGTTTAATGTTTTTTCTCTCAATCTGATCTTAAGTTAATCCAGAAATTATATAATAAATAAACATATAGAGGCGATGATAAGAAAAAATGCAAAATAGATGCCAACATAAACTGTCACACGAAAACAAAACAAAAGCAATCACGAAGATTCGCACAAGTATCATCACAAACAAACATAAGTTCATTTGCTTCTTTTTCATCAAACACATAAGTTTATTGCCATGGAATAAAATAACGTCATCAATACTCACGCGACTTGGAACGCTCTGACCGCTTGTACTCACGATCATCATAACGGTATTCTTCTTTCTCCATTCTCCCATAACGGCCTTGGTCACCTCCTTGTTCCTCCTCACGCTCATCATAATGGCTTGAACGTCTACTACGCCCTTCGTAGTAGCCATGACCACCTTCCTCTGACTCTCTTTTCCTCTGCTTCGACCCACCTCTCTCACGTGATCTCCCACCATCGTCTTCATACTCAACGCTCTCGTACTCCCGTTCCCTTTTCCGACTCCTCTCACGATCGTGATCCCGTGTACGACGGTCCCTATCTCCTCTGTCACGCCTGCTGTCTCTGTCTCTGTCACTGTCTCTGTGGTGTTTACCCTCTCTATGACTCTCTCTCGGTCTATCACGCGACCGTTCACGGGACCTCTCATGAGACCTTTCACGAGACCGCTCACGTTCCTTTTCTTTGACCCTATCACGAGATTTCTCACTGCATCCGCCACACAATCAGCCACAACAAAATGGCAGAAACTAAAAGACTTTTGTGAAAAAAAATAGCTTACCGGTCTTCACGAGCTCTAGGTTCCTCGGAGCGGGATGACCTTCCTTGAGATGGTTGTTGTTGTTTTTGATCCTCCTCGCCAGATATCTTCTCACCAGGAACTCTGCTTGTACCAAGTCCACCACCAAGCCTACGAGGACGCCATTTCGGGACTGTTCTACCTCTCTCCACATCAACCAACACTCTTCTACCATCAATCTTCTTTCCATCACCCTGTTTGTATGCCGCTATATAAGACACCACAAGCTTTACGTCAGCAAAGAAAAGATAATATATTGAACAGAGAACAACATTACAAAGAAGGTTTTTACTTCACCTTTCATGTCACGAGTGTTTAAGTACTCAATGAAGGCATAGCCTTTAGGTTTATTGGTTTGCTGATCAGTCACCAAATGAACCTGACAAATGAAAGAAGAAAGAAATCACAAACTCTGCGAGAACATAAACCAGCTTTCAGATATTACATGTCAAACAAGCACAGGTAACCTTTTTTCTTAACAGGCTTCCACATCATCACCACATCAAGAATTGGCAGAAAATTGGATTCCATGGCAGGTCTAACGACCCCTTACCAGGGTTTTAATACTTTTATGAAATTCAGATAATACACCTACCACATATGTATATATTTACCGATCACCTTAAGAATAACAGATAATACTTTATCCTTTAACTCCAGATCAGAAACGTTTAAGTAAAATTATATAAAACTCGAAAGAGAGAGAGAAGGTTAGTATACTCCCTAACTCTACTGTTTAGAGATCTTACATTCACTGCCCAAATCCAAAATTTAGGCTTCCCGTGTAGAATGATGAATCATCTTCATAGTAACCAGGATAGGAAAAATGGGGACAAACTATTTCTTAGTACCTTACCAGGATGGCTTTCGAGAAAAAAAATCTCAGACACTATGAAACCTGTGAGCGTCCACCCTCGATACAGTAGCAACAAGAATGTATATATATATATATCCTTTGAAAAGACAGGTCAAAATGTGAAAGTTACCTGATCTATACCTGTGATCCTATAGTTGACATGCCCCGAAAAATCTCAACCAATCAACACGGAGCAGAAGGATTTGTAAATTTACCAAATAATAGACCGGGACATCTTTTACTACTTACATTATCTTAGCAAGTTATGAGAAAAAGTCCCAGTGGCTATAATAAGTAGACTAAAAGAAGGTAAAAGGTGGCAATTCAGAAACATCTCGACCTCTGGTCTCAAAGGAAAATTTTGTGCGCAAAATTTTAAGAATCTATAAACTTCTGAACGTAAAATCAAACATATTGCAAAGAGAACATGAGAGCGAGCAGCCATCTCAGAAATTCTTACCGAACCTGTTAGGGAATGCTCAAATATAAATACCTGCTTAATAGGTCCATAAGACTCAAACTCCCTTTTAATCTTACTCTCAGACGTCTCGTAGTTCTGCAAGACGAAAAGAGGAACATACAATCAAGTACCACAAAACACAGTCTAAAATGGTCATTGCAACAGGCAGTGGAACTTACCAGTCTTGCAACAAACAGTATCTTGTATGGATCTCCAGAAGCATTAGGATCATTATTCGGATCATCTGACAGACAAAAAAAATATCAAATTGTAACTTTAAGTCACCAAACAAAGCCTGGCAAAATATAATAATAATGTATGGGAAAGTTACAATTCTTTAGATCTTCTGCAGCCTTTTCAACACCTTTCTCCAGTCGTGACTTGTGAATTGTCTCCCTCTTTTGTGCCTGGTGGTCCAAAATAAAATAAATATATAAAAACTATATATGTCACTGGAAAAAGCATAAAAGAGAGACAGATGGAGATGCAAACATACAGGAGTTTCAACATCAGGCTTAGGTGGAGCATACTCTGGATCTCCAGGTTCAGCAAAGTGGCTCACATATTGAGCCATGCCTAAGAAAATACACACACGGGACAAAGAAGATTACCCTGTAAAGCCAATTATGAGTTAAGTTAGACAGGTCACAGAATCAGAAGAAAAGCTCGAAAACCTGTATAAGGAGGGCATTTTCTCTTCTCAGGTGGTGGCAGGAACTCCAAGGGCGGTCGTGGCTCAAAGAGCTTCAAAAGATTGGGCGTCAATCCTGTTGGATGGCTTTGACCCATCTGCGAATCAGCAAGGGATCATATTAACTTCGTAGTACGAAGATGAAATCATTCTCAAACAAGTTAAAGAGCTTTTGAAGGTCAATCCAGACATCTTATTACTGTGACATTCATAAGCGAATTCACAACGGTAAATATTAGTATATGACAGTGTAAAATATATATAAAGACAAGTTAAGCATTGAACGATTTAACTAATCCATCCACAGAGGCTATACCGAAGCAGAAGAAACCCAATTCGATAAAATATAATCTCAAACAATATAGTTACGATCAATCTTAATCGTAGGAATAAACTGGAGAAAAGAGAGACGAACCAGCTTAAGCTGAAGAACATTGGATCGGTTCTGAACCTTAGGCGTGCCTGTATGGCGGCGTTTTGGTTACGCATGAAAGGATCGTTCATGTCTCAAATGCCGAAGGAGTGATCGGAGCTCAGCTCAGCTCAGATAGGGCTTCTCCGTGAGGAAGAATGTAGATGTGACTTTAAAATTATAGGTTTTGTTCAAATGCAAATTGAATTGGCAAATTGGGCTGAGCTGTGAGCGGAAAGATATATATATATTTATAATCCAAAACATATTAAAAAGGACATTACAATTCAAAGCCCAAATAAAAAGAAAGTTCCTCAACAAAATTTGAGTTTTTAGCAAAATGATTCATGCCTCTAGCAAAATGATAATGGACATATTTTTTTGGAAGAAGGAAGGGGATGATGAGACTGATCTTTCCGACATGAAGTATATAAGTATGGTTACGCCACGCCGGCCGGCGACTACGCTACCTTTGATAAAGCTCCGGCGAACTAAAAGAACACACATGCACACAAGAAGCCTTATTTCAATCGACGACTGTTTCTTCGTTTGGATGCTTGGTTTGTTTTGTCTGCAAGTTTCAGAGTCTTTGTCAGTTCCCTTACGTTCTGCAACACACAAAAAAAAAACAGAGATTACGGTTAAAGACAGCTTTGACACCCAATGAAACCATGTAGAATAAAACATTTATGAGATTTTCAGGCTCTGCAGATCGATTGATGCTTGCTTACAACTGTCCTAACGCATCAATACACTAAGAAGCTAAGTATATACTATTTAAGATTATCAATGATCAACCGCATGGGAGTGAATAGTATAAACAGACCAATACACTGTGAAGAGAATGTACTATGATCTAACAAATTACGATAGAGGAAATAAACAGAACATCCAAGTAATCTACTACATCTCTTTTACCTTATATGGCTTACGGTAAGAGAATCGGACAAAAAAATGCAGACAAAGAAACCACATTCTCCGACTAACTAAACTGTAAAGAAAAAAGATCTAGTAATTGCTTGAAAGCCACAACCCGAAACATGCTTCTTATTTTCCCTAGTTGCCAGATGTGGTATAATAGGATAAAAAAGTATCTTGCCAAAGAATAATAGATGAAGCCTATCTACTAATAACACTTGTACATAATATACTAAAATCCAAACCCACTTAATATAACAGAACAGTCCTATTTTATTTTTCTCAGTTTAGTTAAACCGATGTCTCAATCTTCTATTACAAATGTAGAAGGAAATGGCCCATTGTAATGAATCAACAACGTCCGTGGAAGTCAGATTAATTGTTAGAGACGAGACACTCACCGTAGAATGCACAGGAGGCGGATCTATGACAACAGAGCGAATAGACATCCTCGCGATCTCCGCAATGGCAGCGTCCACCACATCAGGTGCATCACTCGTAAGCTCCTCGTAAGCAGCCTCGAACGCCTCTTGCCAAAACCTGGGCAACCTGATACGACGCCCATTGTTATAAACATCCCACATATGCTTCACCACTTTCTCCCTCTCCTCCATTTCCTGATCTCACCATTCAAAACCCCCAATCATATAACTAACCATGAAATCTGGAGATTAGAGAAGGACATTTACTCACGAGAACATCGAGATCCTCGTGGATCGGAAAGACCAGATCGTCGGTGAAATGGCTAATGTTACCGGCTGACCACCGGAGATTCACGGTGCCGGTTAGCATTGACCAGAAAGCGAGGAGTAGAATCGCGGCTAAGGCCCAGAACTTGTAACGGCCTTTCGCGAAGAGCGCGGGGTATCCGCTTTCCTTCTTGACGTTCGCCGCGACGGAGGAAGTGCTGAGAGGTAAGGAGTCGGCATCCTTCATTGGATCGGAGTGTGAGAAATCTGTAAATATTAGCAGCGTCGTTTCTCTTCCCAATCTGGAAGAAGTGGAAAGTGTGAAATGAGGAACAAATGGTTTGCTTATGTATAAATCCTTAAACTATAATTAGGCCTTTCCTTTGTGGTTTTTTTTTAAGGACCGACACTATTAACAAAACGTATTATACATATTTTAAGAGAGGTGATTTGTTTTTAAAAAGAGAACTGATTTGTTTTCAGCTTTATTAATTTAATGAATTTGGTTACCATTTTAAGATAAGATTTAGATCCATGAAAAGGATGCTCTTGGTTATTAAATATGTCGTGAATATAAAATTATTGTCGATGCTATGAAAAACCCACAAGCTAATATACTCGTTTATTTTCATTTCTGTGATAAAAAATATCACAAAAATATATTTGAATACATATGAAACTATACATATTTTTCCAACATAAAATCTATTGTAAATCAGTTAAATAAACACATCATATTAATGTTCATCTGTATCCCTAATCCCTAAAATGTTCTTCTGTTTAAGAGCTTCTAAAAGAATGGGAAATAAAAAAATTATCAGCAACAAAGGTAAAGTTATTATCTACTTTCATTTTACTTATAAACTGATTTTAATATCTGTTTTTTGACTTCTGTTTAGGAACATTATCTAATCTACTTACTACATATGGTGAAAATGTGATAACTTAAAATTTCTGTAAATAGAATTTGCATTCTCAAATTCATTTTTTCCTCTTCAAAGGTTCAAGTAAGTGTTTGCTACTTTAATAAATACAGTAAGAAATAGAACAATGAAAAAAAGTGTAGTCATTAAAAATATACATGGATTTTTGGAGCGTGGAGGAGGATGAACATGTTTGAGAAAAAAATGTGAGCAAAAATCTTAATTGTGTATATTGTAGGATTTAAATATAAATATTCATTTTCATAATTGGTTTTTCTATTTGGCCTCATTCTTTATATTAGATCTCAAAATATCAAAAACAATAAGTATTATATTTTCAAGTCATAATCTATCATAACTTTATTTTTTTAATTTAAGTAAAAATATAACTTTATGGAAGATTTAAATACAAGACGAATTTTAAAGAAAAATTAATGAATCAAATATAGTTATTTTAAATATATTTTCATGCGTTGTATCTATCTTAAATCTAAACATAAAATACTTTCAGCATATATCTATTTTAAAACAGCATGAGAAATACTATTTTACAGTTTACATTTTTTGAATGCAACTTTTAATTTTATATATGCAATTTTAATCCATATATATAATATTTAGTTGATATAATAATTTTATTTTGATTGCTAATTTTGAAACTGTAGTTTTATCATCAAAAATTTAAAATATAGTCCTTTTGATTCGTGCTACGCACGAGGATAAAACTAGTACTTACACAAATCTTAAATGCACCGACTTAGTTGATATATTCAAAGCTACAAGAAAAATAATAAAATAGAAGCAAAGGAATGATATAAATACAAAATAAAGGACAAAATTTATTTCCCGATCTGCAAATTGGCGGGAGGACGAAAATGATCCACAGAGAGACCCCATACGTTAAAATCAACTTCTTCTATCCGCCACTTCTCCGTCATTTGTCTCCGATGATTCGCTGATGCTTCACCGTACCGGAAGACCGTAACCGATGTTATTCCACCATGAGCAATATTCACATCATCAACGTACCGGTAATCATCCATCACTGATTCAGCGCTAGTCTCCCAGAAAACGTCGCCTTCCTTGGTCCGCATACTCAGAAGTCGTGAGTCTTCGAACTGAATCAATAGTCCCGATCTTTGGCTAAAGTAACCCCATATTGTGTGATGAATGATCTCAAAGTTGGAACCGCTTTGAGCATCTCTAACCGCTGGACTTGTCTCCAGTTTTAATATAAAACAATCCTCGCCGTTGATAATTTTCTCTCCGATGCATGTCGCGTCGAGGAAAAGATTTGCAGTTGATCGTGGATCTAAACCCTGGTAACAACAAACCAACACTTCAACATACTAAAAGAGTTGCATTAATACTCCCTATTTTCGAAAAGATCCATATTTAAAATTAAAACAAATTATTGAAAAATACATTTTTAGTTTGTCCTTACATTATTCTCACTGTTTCTTAAATAGTGTCACTACAGACACATTTCATGCAGATTAGAAATTGATAAAATATACTAATATATATTTTCATCTAATATATAAATATTAAAAATAAAAATATTTTAAATAAAAATTTAATTGAAAATGTATAATAATATTTTTTGTAAACAAAAATTAATGATAAAATGATATTTAATATAAAATTGAGAGAATATTGGATAAAATCTGAAAAATTGTTAATAATGAACTTTTTATGTTTTATGTGTGTCAGAAAATTCTATAATTTTTTTCTTTTTGAAAATTCTAAAACTTGCATTTTAAAACAGAGTAAGTATATTTCAGTAACCGGAATAGTACCTGTAAAAACCGACGGAGAGGTCTCGGCGTACCGGTAGACGCCGGTGTTTGTTGGTTAGAAGAATGCCGCCACGAAAGCCGACCGTTACTTCCACATATGACTTTACAACCAGAGACAACGAGCTCCAAACACCACAGATCTGGATCTTTCTGCCACAACACAAAACCACCCATCTCGTCACTGCTCTTAAGGTTACCGACAGTTTCATCTCCTTGATGAAACTCCGACGCTGTCATCTTTACTTGTCCGGTGACACACATACTGTTCACAGCATTTAACGCAGCTGGTCCACCCGTAGCTGCTATGTACTGTTGCACTATATATTTCGCCGTAGAAGCTTGCTAATCAAATAAATTGTTACATTATATATTATATATTGATCGCTTGCATCAGTTTTCTTTAATATTGAGTTACTTACAATGGAAGAATCTTTGACAGGCTTATGAACAGAGTGACCAACTTGAACTTGAAGAGGTATAAGAGGTGCTCCAACGAGATAGAGAAGAAAACGAAGCTCGTTGATACGAGCAGCGATCAACGGTTGCGACCATTTATCTGACGTTTGAGCTTTCATCCACGTCAACATGTTTTGACATCTCAATGCAGCGTTATTGCCCATACCGGAAAACATCTCCTCCGGTATCGGAACTTCCAAAACCGTCTCCAAACCATCGTCTTTGTCTATATTCGGACACAACTTCCTCATACACTTCGCACTCCTTCTATTCTTCCTGTTCCTACGTTTTTCTTTTGTTCTGTGAGCGATCGATTGAACAAAACCTACGAATGGTTCAAAGATTGTCAGCACGCCCGTGTTTCATGAAACCTCTTCTTGTTTTATCGAATTTTGTGATTTGTAACCTTGTTTTTGTTCATCAATTAGTTGTTTTAAAGCTCTTCCCGTTATTAGTTGTGGTTCTCCTTTGTTTTAGCCTATTTTAATTGAAATTTCGTTTAGGTTATATATTTTTTCTTTAATTAGCATTGTGTTCTTGATAACAATACGCAGGATGCAATTATTTCATGCTCGTAATTGTTTTTCCATGTACACGTTTTGTGAATTGTTTTATTTTTCTTATGGGATGGAATTATATTTCACGTGAATGGTCTTTGTTTGCCCTCGTCTTTAAGATTTGGTTTATATAAACTTTATAATATATTTTCCTAGTTTATGCTATTCAAATGGGGTTTGTTTGATCTTGGGTTGCCCTCTTCGTTTGGAGTCGTATAATATAACTCTAGTCTTGAATACAAAAGGTGCAATTATTTCACACTTTAGTGTAACATCGCTAACTATTCATGTGTCCATTTCTGGACAGACAATTTGAACCATTTCTTTCTGTAGATAAAATATATATAAAATAAAACTTGAATATAAATAATATGTGGTAACTCGAACATAACTTCCATGGGGCTACTCATTAAAAACCAGACTCAGCCTTGTCCTTTTCAATAATAGGTCCAACTCAAATATCACGAACATGCAATGGCAGATTCAAGCAAGGTGAAGATAGATAAAACCAACAATTACTAGACATTCGAATAACGTCCAAACATTATTTCACATCACATACTCTCCTGTCTCCGCCCCTAAGACTATTGGTGGGTTGGATGTAAACAATACGGCCCAAAAGGATTATTGATCTTGGATAAATCACTTAATTAAGAACTGTCTAGTTTTTTTCTTCTCCTGGAGACGAATAATTAACATTGTTTATGTACAAGTTGTAATCAACGTGTACGGAGAAAGTGAATCAAACTATGTAGTTATAAGCTTAAACTAATACCTACCAAGATCATCAAGCAACAATACAAGATTATTAGAAACGAAAACGCTACCTCGCTTATTTAGATTATTGGATACTAGTGGTTGGTACTGTTTCTGGACCATATGATAAGGAATTTGTAAGCTGGCAGAATAGTGTGTTAATGGAGGGACCATGTAAGCCTAAATAATTCTTCCTTTGAAACTAACAATGAAAAGCAATAAAAAAGGGACCCAGATGAATTAATTTATATGTTTGTAAAGTCAAATGCTATTTCTAATGGACGTTGTACGAAAGAAAACATTACTAGCTTTTTATATCATTAATACGAATTTTGCTCTCAACGCGGCAAACCATGTACATATTAATTCATAGTTAGCAATAGAGAACTTTATATTAAAATATATACAAAAAAAAATGAAAACATGGCAGCTTTGTTTCCGGGAGGTAACCATCCTTACTAGGGCTGGGCATTTTATTCGTTATATTTGATTCGATTCGTTATTCGTTTCGATTCGATCCGAAAATTCCGGATATCCGTAAACTTTCGAATCAAAGCAAATACTAAAATTCAATATCCGTTAAAATCGAAGCAAATCACAAATATTAAAATTTTGGGAAGCGGATATCCGATCCGATCCGTAAATATATAAATATATG